CCTCCCCAGTTTGTTCTTCTTCCCCGCCATCCGAATGTCTGTTTTAATTGTCCAATTGCCACAGTGCTTGTCAAAGTCAGTTCTGATTAATCTCTCATAAAAATATTTAAGAAAAAAACAGAGCAGAGGTGGATTTGAGGAACGACTGATGCCAAGTCACCAGATTGCCAAGGGATCAGGAAATCAACAAAAAGGGCAATGGCCTGCCCCCCAGAGCTCAGAGAGAGAACACCTTCCCAAGAGCCAGCACCCTAAAGTGAAGTTCCTAGCCCTCCTAAACTGTGAGGCATTATGCTTGCAAAGAGAGGGTCAACAAAGCAGAGGAAGACCTCCAACAAAATGGATTAGCACAGTGACTTCAGCAATGGCCTCTACCGTGTCAGAGATGGTGAGGATGCCTCAGGCTCGGGCAGGGTTTAGGTCAGCTGTTCATAAAGTTGCTGAGTCATGCTCGACTCGATGGCACCTAACTACAACAAAACTGTGAGAAAAGATACTTCTGTTTGTTAAAACCAAAGCAAATAAATGAAACCAAAAACTAGTTCATGAAGGAGAATTGATGCCTTTGAGCTGTGGTGCTGGAAAAGAGTATTGAACATACCACGGTCTGCCAAGAGAACAAACAGGTCTGTCCTGCTGAGGGTGAAACCAGGCTGTTCCTTGGAAGCAAGGATTTTGAAGCTTCATCTCACATACTTTGAGCATGTTGCCAGGAGGAACAAGTCCTTGGAGAGGGACATCATGCTTGGAAAGGTGGAGGGGCAGCACAGGAGATGAAGAGCCCAAATGAGATGAATTGATACAGTAACTAAAGTAGGTTAGGTGTCTTGGAGACATGAGGCTGGCTCAGGATAGGGCAGGTTTTAGAACTGTTGTACACACGGTTGCTGAGTCACAGGCAATTCAATGACACATAACAACAACAAAAAAACCCATATTTTAAAACTAGTTCCTTTTTAATGAATGGATTACATTCGTTTAAAATAAGCCAAGTATTGACACTGGGTTATCCTCATGCTAGCAATACATAATTTATCCCATCTTTCTCAGTCTCCCCCCAACACTGATGTCAGTCCCATAAAAACTAGTTCTTGATATATAAGTGAAATTACTTTTCTTTTCTTGGTAGTCTGAGAAAGTTTTAAAAAGTAGGTTAAGTCTCAATAAAGTCCATATCTTCAAAGTTAAGATTAAAGCTCAGGTGGAGGTGAAAATTTTTATTTAGAAGTCACCCTTAATTCTCATATATCATTTTCTTGTTCCTCTCATATACCTATTTTGAATGAAGCTTACAGTGTAGGAATTGCAAAAAGACTTTACAACAGTTTCATTTCATCACTCAATACTAAATGGCACCTTTTATATATACAGTTGTCCATACAGTTAAATATTGTCTCAGGTTGTCACAGTCCTAGTTGTCATTTTCACAGCAACTCGGTTCATGCCCTCCTCACTTACTGACAGATCATCACACTAAGTTAGCATTGTTTGAAAATGGAGATGATGTCATTATAACACAACTTCCAGATGACTAAGAATCATGGCCCGGGCAAGGTAGTGAGCCTCGACCATCCCAGCCAGCAGATTCTTGCTGTGCACCACAATGGTTTTCAAAATCAGATGCACATTATACATGTTCAAAACAATTGTACAGTTGATTTTGACTATTGTAAATAGGAAATGTCAGAAAATGAGACAGTCAATATGTAAAGTACACATTATTGTTGATTACTCACTTGAAAGATTTTTAGAAATTTTTTTGGTTCTTTTTAAAATTTCATATTGGTTTGCATACAAAATCTGTACACATTGTGTCTCATTCATGTACATTTTGTTTCACACATCCCTTGATTTGCATTGTGTTTCCTATGCTTTTGAGCTGTGATGCCAGAGAAAAGTATTGAATATACTATGGACTGCTAGAAGAATACACAGCTTCCTCCTAGGAAGAGTGAGACCAAGCTGCTCCTTGGAGGCAAGGATTCTGAAGCTTCATCTGATATTCTTTGGACATGTTGCAAGCAGGGACCAGTCCTTGGAGAGGGAAGTCATGCTTGGGAGGGTCGAGGGACAGCACAAGAGAGGAAGACCCTTGATGAGATGGATTGATTCAGTGACTGGAGTAATGGGTGTAGTTGTGTCAGTAAGATTGGCACAGGATAGAGATAGCAAGATTGGCACAGTATAGAGCAGGGTTTAGGGCTATTGTACATGGGGTCACAATGAGTCGCAAGCAACTAGACAGCACACAACAACAACAACAACATGATCATTCCTATAAATGACTCTTTGTAAAATTAATCACCATTGATCCATGCCCACTATCACCCCATCTTTTCAGGTCTCCATTGGATCTTTCCTAATTCCCTGAAGGGTGTTTTCATAATATAATTATTTTTATACTTTTTGTAAATTTAATAAGAAAAAAGACCTCTTTCAATGAGGGCATCAATGAACCGCCTAAATTAAATATAGTGTGCTATTTCCTCTTGGGATTATAATATATCTTATCACCACCATGAGCTTAGAGGAAGGATAAACATGGAAAGGAGGAGGTAACAGGAGGTGAGAAAGGTTAGACTCTACTGCTGACTATGCTGAAAGAGATCACAGTAGAAGGTTCAAGATAGAGTAGGTGAAAAATGTGGAACAAAATTTAAAAACCAAAAATGATCCGGCTTTTACTGGTCTCACAGACACTGGTGGACATCCCAACCCCCAATGCTATGAGCCTTAGCACCCTTCAAACCTGGAACAAAATTTATCTCTGTGGCTCAATTTTCAGCCAAACAAGTGATAGACCTTATAAAGTGACCAACACCTGGGAGGAATTCACTTAGACTAATCAGTGACCTAAGATCAGAGGACAGCATTTGCCAAGAGATAAAGCTCAGAGAGCAAGAAGGAGTAGGTTAGAAGAGTTAGTGGAGACAAGACTCACGAGGAGGAAACGGGAAGAGTGCAGTTACATTGTGTGTATTGTAGTCAATATCATGAAAATAATGTATGAATGGTTGAATTCAAGAGCAAACTGCTTTGTGAACGTTTTCTCCAATCTCAATAAAAAGGAAAAAGAAAATATGTCTTCACACTGTAGACTCCAGTTTCATGCTTTTGTCGCGAAATAGTGTGAATACTCCTAATCAGTGAGCAGACAAAGAATTTTAAAAAATCAATTGTCAATGAGACCTGAAGTTGGAGATCACATTGCTTGGTTCATAATCAATTCACAAACTCAGTTGCCTCATCTATAAAATGGGAATTTAAAAGTACCTTATGCCGATTTGGCTCAAAAGGCAGCAAAAAAACCGGGGTACATGGGAAATAGAGTTTATCTCTAGAGAAGAGAAATATTATTTCTTAGAGATAGGGCAACTGTTAAGAAATTGTGATGCTTCTAAACTATGAGACCATCAGGAGACTAAACAAAATTGTCTTAGCAGAAATACAAGCAGAACACCATTTCAAAGTAAGGATAGAGAGGTTTTTAGCTTGCTTGCTTTAGATACAACATCAGGAAAAAACAATTGCTAAAAAAAGGTATCATATTTGGCCAAGTAGGGGTGAGTGAAAACAAAGAAAGCCCTCAGTGTATCACAACCAAAACAATGGAATCAAAACACCAGTGATTATGAAGATGATACAGGACATTTTCTTCTGTTACACACAAGAGTGCTCTGAGTACATCTGCCTAAATGGAGTTAGCAACATGTATGTGCCCATTCATTCACAGAGACTGTTAAGCTATCCCTATATCATTACTCACTGATGGTTTAATTCCTCCCTGCTAGACAGTCTGTGGGTATTAGGGTGGGGGGAGGGTTTCCACCACTGTGTGCAAAGTTCTGAATGAAAAACTGTCTTCAGTGTTAGTAAGAGTTACCAAACCAGATTAAATCAGGATGCTCTGTGTATTCAATGTCCTCATGACCATTTAGGAAGCTCTGGTGAAGTAGCCCATAAGGATTAACCCAAGAGCTGAGCAAATCCTCCAGTGACTCCAAGACAGTAAGATGGACAATTTTCTTCCATGATATTTACAGCCTCTGGAAACCCACAGATGGGTCAGCTGTAAGTCAGTTCCAGCTTATAACAGTAAGTTAGTTAGGTGATAATTTTATTCAATCAGCCTTTAGTGGAGACTTTGTCACTGCCCCCCCCCTACAAACACATACACCCCAGTGATTCTGGAGACAAAAAGTTCAATAAGCCATGTTTCCTACAAGCTCCTGGTCTAGAGATGTTTGTAAATGGAGAATGCAGTAATGACCATGTGACATGGGTGCCCTGATACAGCAATTCAGTGGGTGCTGTGAGAATACCAAGGGCTCTCTGGAGAAGGTGAACTTGAACATAGTTTTTAAGTATAACAGGAGTTAGAAGAATAAGAGGTATTTGAACAGCACTTGCATTGGCCTGGAGGCTGAAAAAGCACAACCAACTAGGGAAAGTAGAAATAGTGCATTTGGATGATAGGGGAAGATTGAGATTGGAGATGATGAAAGGTTAGCATGTGGGAGGCCAGGCTCTGGGAGCTTAGCTGGGAAGCACAGGTTTTATCCAGAAAATGAAGGAGAGCTGGGGAAGAGGGAAAGTTCAGAAGAAGATGATAGGACTGGTCAGTTAGATCACCATCCGACTGGACGGTGAATTCAATGGTGACCAGACTGGGATGATAAGATGTGTTTTGAAGAATTTTCAGATATTCAGGAAGAAAACAACAGAATCAAATCCAGAACAAATCAGAGGAGATGCAAGAGATGCAAGCTTTTGCTGATGTGGTCAGACAGGGAAAGCAGCCTCGACCCCGGCCCGAGGCAGGGTGACAGGATATTCGTATTTGCATCCATGTCCCTCACCAGCCCCCACGCTTCTACAACAGGGATGAGGAGGGACGTGCAAGGTATGGTGCTAGATGTCTATAACTTACCCAGTTATCTCAATAATTGTCCTCACTTCCAGGTCAGGAATACAACTCTTTCAGAAATTTCTGACCCATAGAAATTGGGTCACCAATTCAAGTCGATTTGTGACCCAGCCTTAGCTGTATCCCTGTGAGGCCCTATTAACTACTTCATTGGTTAAAGGCTTTCATCTTCTACTCACCTCATTGCCAGAAAGGTGGTACATCCTGGCTTCCTGGAGCAGAGGGAAGACCTCTGGGCACTGTCGGATGAGAGGATCGGCTTCCACTGTCTCCACAAAGTACCATGGGTCCAGAAGTGGCAAACGCACATTCTCCAAGACATACGGGAGCAAGCAGAGCCTCTCTGACTGTTTGTGGCGGACCCAGTGCATCACGGTTTCAAACACCTGAGCCTCTTCTGTCACGTAGAGGTCGTCACTCCTCAAGATGTGGTACAGGGTGTCCACAGGAAGCTCGAGGAATTCCTCAGAGCTCAGAATCTGCACAAAGTTTTGGATGATGTAACTTTGAACTTGCTTCTTTAGACTGTCCAAGGAGTGTGTGTCTGCCAGCCTCAGTATCCCAACACAGTTTTCCGGGTTCAAGGCTTCTGTGAGGAAGCTGGCACAGGCATCTACCATCCGCAGGAACTAACAGAACAAAAAGGGGGAAAGATAGGCCAGGAAGCAATTAGTCCATAAGGGCACTTAGTAGAGAGTTGTGTATGAGTAGCAAAAAGCAAGAAAGAGCCTAATGTCCAACAACTGTTATTGTTGCCATTCAGTCATCTATGACTCATATTGACCCTATGAACCTCAGATGTGAACCGTGCCCTGTCCTCCACCATCCTCATCACTGCTGACATGATGAGTCTGGGTTCCAGTCACTGTGTCAATCCCTCTCGTTGAGGGTTTAGTGGTGGGGTTTTTTCTCCCCATCCCCCTTTCCCCGACCCTTTATCTTACCAAATATGTCTTTTCCAAAGCATCAATTTATTGTTTAGTTTTATCTACTCATATGGAGTCGTCTTCTCCTGCACTCTCCCTTCACCCTTCTGAGAAGGATGTCCTTCTCCGAGGACCAATCTCTCCTGGCCACATGCCCAAAGTATGTGATACAGAGCTTCAGAAATCCTAGCCTCCAAGGAGAGACTTTGTTTCAGCCTCTCCAAGACAGACTTATTTGTTTTCTTGGCAGTCCATGGAATGTTCAGGAGTCTTCTCCAGCACCACAATTCAAAGATATTGATTTTTCTTCTGGCCTCTTTAGTCATTTCCCAGCTCTCTAACACATAGCAAGTAATTGCAAAGACCATGGCCTGGATTAACAATATTACTTTTTGCAAGGGAGCTCAAGTGGCTTGCCGGTAAGGAACTGGGCTTCCAACCCAAAGGGACACCACTCAAATCTACCAGCCACTGCACAGGAGAAGGTGGGCAATCTCCTATCATGTGATTTACAGTCTCTGAAAACCTGCTGGAGGATCAACGAGTAGGTGGTTCCAACCCAACAGTACATAACAACAACAAAGTATTTGTGGATGAAATCAGGGGCATGGGAATATTTCATAAACTCATGTGTACATTATGACTCCATTTTGATATGAAAAACAGACATTTGAAAAAAGACTGAAGGATATACACCAAAACAGCATTAGTCCTTAACTCTCAATGTATCAGGTCTCTTATGGGTAATTATGTGCTAATAACAAACCACATGAGGAGATTGTTGTTGTTTTTGTTGTGTATTGTAGAGTCAGAACCAAACCATAGCTGACCTTCCAGCAGGTTTTCTGAGATAGTTATTCTCAAAGGAGGACACTGCCCATCCCTCTTCCTAAGAACAGCCGGGGGCCTCAAACCATGTGCCTTCAGGGTTGCAGTGCAACTTCTTGCCACTAAGTCAAGGGGATCACACAATAAAAAATTTCTCATTTTCATTAGAAGTTCTTCACTGGTCTATATTCCAGGATGAGGATGACATAAAAGCTCTTAAGTAGGACATGTTGGTCTTGTTCCAAGAGGTGGAAAGTTGGCAGCCCACATCAAAGCTCTTGAAATTTCTGCTCATGAGTGATTCATGCCGTTTCCTCTCACACTTAACTGGCCAAAGTCAGCCACTGGGAAACATTTGTTATCAAGGGAAAAATACTATTACCACAGAAACAGGTCCCAACAAATGAGCAGGGAATATTCTTCATAGAGAATTGAGCGCCATCATTTCTAATACAACTACATAGATTTTTTTCCCCCTTGTGTTTATTTACTTATATACTTTTGAAGCAGTTCAAATTCATCAGCAGTTCTGTGGGGAGAAAGATGGTGATTTATAGTCTCAGGAAACCCACTGGTCAGTTATCAGTTCCAACTTGTGTGAGTTGAGATAATTGATAAGTACTACTTTTTAAAAAATTATGCATGTATGTATGTATATGTATATGGTATACATTATAATACTTTGTCTTGAGTTCTTGATTTTTTTTCCTTTTGCTTTGGCTTCTTGATGCTCTATTGCAATTTTCAGTCTCTTCTGACATCCATCTTGGTCTTTTCTTCCTCCTCTGTCTTTGCAATGTCCTTTTACTTTCTTCCTGGATCTTATTCTTGATAGCCTCCCATAGCTCATCTGGTCTTCACTCATTCGTGTTCAAGGCCTCAAACTATTTGCTGAGATGGTTTTGAAACTCAGGTGGGATAGACTCAAGGTCAAATTTTCGTTTCCTATGGATTTGATTTAATTTTCCTTAGCTTCAGCTTGAACTTGAATATGAGTAGTTGGTGGTCCGTTCCATAATCAGCACCTGGCCTAGTTTTCACAGCTGATATTGAGCTTCTCCAGCAATTCTGTCCACAGATATAATTGATCTGATTCCTATGGATACTTTTAGGTGACATCCATGTATACAGCCTGTGCTTATTTTTCTTATAACAAGTATTTGCAATGAATAAATCATTGATTATACAGAATTCTATCATTCTATCTCCAGTTCCATTTCTGTCACCAAGTCCATGTTTTCCTACTACTGATCCTCTTCTCTGTTCGAACCTTTGCATTCCAGTCACCCTTTATTATTAATGCATCTTGATTTCATGTTCAATCAATTTCTGGCTGCAAAGGCTCTAGTTATTGGTGCATATAGTTGGATGATAGTGGTATTAGCTGGACTTCCTTGTATATGCATGGATATTATCCTGTCACTCACCACATTGTATTTCAAGATGGCTCTAGAAATTACTTGAACCAGGAGGCAGTCATCAAAACAGAGCAAGGCAACACTGTATGGTTCAAAATTGGGAAGGGTGTATGCCGGGGGTGTGTCCTATCACCATACCTTTTCAATCTATATGCAGAACAGATCATCTGGGAGGCTGGGCTCTATGAGAAGAAATACGGCATCAGCGTTGGAGGAAGACTCAACAATCTATGTTATGCAGATGATACAACCCTGCTTACTGAAACTGAGGAGGACCCAAAGCGCTTGCTGCATAAGGTCAAGGACTGCAGCCCTGAGTATGGATTGAAGCTCAATATCAAGACAACAAAGATTCTCACCACTGGGCCAATTGACAGCATCATGATAGTGAAGAGATTGAGATTGTTAAGAGCTTACATTTGGTTGGCTCCACAATCAACTCTTGATAGCAGCAGCCAGGAAGTTAAAAGATGAAATGTGTTGGGAAAGCCTGCTGTCAGAGACCTCTCCAGAATACTGAAGAGCAATGATGCCAGTCTGAAGTCTAAAGTGCACCTGATCCAAGCCATAGTCTTTGCAATTACTTGCTATGCATCAGAGAGTTGGACAGTGAATAGGGATGATAGAAGGAGAATTGATGCCTTTGAGCTATGGTGCTGAAGAAGAGTATTGAATATACTATGGACTGCTAGGAGAATAAACAGGTTGGTCCTGTTGTTGTTATTGTAAGGTGCTATTGAGATGAATACAACTCATAGCCACCCTATGAATAAACGACCTGAGCCCAATCCTATCATGCATCATCTTCACTCTTCCTGATACACAAAAACCCATTGCAGCAGTCACCGTGTCAATCCACCTAGTTGAGGGTCTTCCTTTCCTTCACCAACCCTGAATTCTTTCCAGCATCATGTCCTTCTCCAAGGAATAGTACCTCCTACAACATGTCCAAAGTACATGAGGTGAAGCCTCATCAGTCTTGCCTCCGAAGAGCACTCCATCTGCACCTTCTCCAAGACATATCTGTTCATTCTCTTGGTCGTCCATGGGATGTTTGGTGCTCTTCTCCAACACCACAGCTCAAAGGTGTCAATTCTTTTTGTGTCATCCTCCTTCATTGTCCAGGTCTCAGATGCATAGATAGTAATTAGAAAGACTATGGCCTGAGCAGATGCACATTAATCCTCAAACTGACATCCCTGCTCCTTAATAATTTGGAGAAGTCCCTAACTGCAGATTTTTCCAGTGTCGTGTGTCTCTTCTTGACTGCTGGTACCAAAGGTGTTAATTGTGGATCTAAGCAAGATGAAGCTGTTGACAGTTCGGATCTTCTCTCCATCCATCATGACACTGCCTACTGGTCCAGTGGTAAGAATCTTTGTTTTCTTGATGTTGAGATGAAATCCATACTAAGGCTGCATTCCTTGATCTTCTGCAACAAGTGCTTCAAGCCCTCCTCACTTTCAGCAACTAAGGTGTCATCTGCATAACACAGGTTATTGATGAGTCTCCTCTTCAATCCTGATGCTACATTCCTCTTCATAGAATCCAGCTTCTAAGGTAATTTGTTGTAGATAGATTAAACAGGTATGGAGATAGAATACAACCCTGATGCAATCTCTTCCCAATTCCAAACCATGCAGTGCTCCCATGCTCTCTTCACACAAAAGTTTCCTGATCCAGGTATAGGTTCCTCATGAGCACAATCAAGTGCTCTGGGATTCCCATTCTCAATGTCAGTCACAACTTGTGATCTGCACAGTTAAATGCCTTTGCATAGTCAACAAATGACAAATAGACATTCTCTGGTATTCCTTACTTTCAGCCAGGATCCATCTAACACTTCTTCTAAATCCTGCTTGAACTTCTGGCAATTCCCTCTCTATGTACTGTTGTAGCCATTTTTGAATGATCCTCAGGAGTATTTTGCTTGCATGTGATTGAATTGAAAACTGGGGATAAACTGTTTGGGTGTTTCTAAATGTATTAGCAATTAAGTGTAAGCTGATTAACTGTATCTGAACTCATTTACAATCAGCTTGTGTGGGTAGCCTCTTGTGTAGGCAAACAGAATCTGGTGGGCAGGCCTTTGTATTTAAAAGTCGGTCTGTTCCTACTTGTGAGTGAGCCTTTAGCTTGGCGTAATTGAATCCTGGTGGGTAAGTGTGATTTACTTGAAAGCTGAGAGTTTGTCCTAGAGAGGGTGAAACCAGGCTGCTCCTTGGAGGAAAGGAATCTGAAGCCTCATCTGACATACTTTGGGCATGTTGCAAGGAGGTACCAGTCCTTGGAGAGGGACATCATGTTTGGGAGGGCGGAGGGACAGTGCAAGAGAGGAAGACCCTCAATGAGATGGATTGATTCAGTTCCCAGGGTAGTGGGAGTAGGTGTGTCAGAGACAATAAGATTGGCACAGGATAGAACAGGGTTTAGGGCTGTTGTACATAAGGTCGCTAT